CTGGGATCCACAGGGAGGCTGTAGCTGAGAAAGGTCTTGTGGCAGAGGTGAGTTTAGCACGCTGTTTATAAACTCTGTGTTCTCCCGGGGAGGGGACAGGATGTGGGAGGGGGTTTGGCAGGAGGGGCTGAGATGCTTTTCTGCCAAACAGTATCTCCACGGAGACAGGCTTCTGAGCGTGCTGGGGCTACCTGCTTTGCCGTGAGCGTAGGTAGACTGACTTGGGAATCTGTCCCTGATTCGGGTGCTATCCACGCTCTCACTGTCTGATACCGTAACCACTAGCCACATGTGACTACTGAAGTTTAACCTAGTTTAAGTGAAATAGAATCAAAAGTTGAGCCCTCACTCGCACCAGCCACACTTCAGGTGCTCAGGAGCCACATGGGGCAAGCCGTTACTGGATCGGGCAGTGCAGACGTGGAGCATTCCCATCCCTGCGGGAAACGCCGTCTGAGGGTGCCGCTCTAGGACTCGGAGGCGGACTCTGCAGGTGCCGTTGCTTCCAGGTGTACCTGGCAGCGCTTCCCTGAAAGGACCTGGGAGGCTGGGTGTTTCTCAGACACAGTGGTCCGGGCGTGTGAGGGACAATGGCACCATGCCTTCCTTACAGGGATTCAGATGCCCCCTTGGTTTAGGGCTCAGCCTGGCGGTGAAGTAGGTCAGCAGGAAAGCAGTGAGTGTGAGCTTCCCGAGTACACCCAGGAACAGGTCTGTGAGCACAGAGTCATAGTATAATTTAAGGAAACCTTGCCGTTAGTACTAAGTTCCACAAATCAATAAGAAATAGACCAACAGTGGGGTGAGGATATGAACAGACAGTTCGCAGGAGAGGATGCCCAGAAAACCGATAATGATAATGCACTGGGGAGACAAACTAGGGGGCCGACAGCAAAGGTGGGAGGCAGAGTTTATGATACTCCCTTTCGTAGCCGTGGAATTTCGAGTCACATGAATGTCCTACCTGTTAAAAAAGCTAAACTAAAAAAAAATTTTATTCTAATTTTTTTTTTACAAGAACATTTGTAGCAGCTTTATTCATAATAGCCATAAACCGGAAATAACTTTCATATCCATCAACAGGAGACCGTAGGAACATATTGTCACTTACTCACCAATAGACCACTGTTGAGCAATGAAAAATATGTCCCGCTTTGGTACAGAGAATAGCACGAATGAATGCCACAGAATTGAGCCAAAGACGCCAGCACACGAGAGGGTAGATAATGTATGATACCATTTACATGAAGTAAAAGAAAAAATCAGGAAAAACGAACCTATGGTGGTAGAAATCAGAAGAGCGTGTGTTCCTATGGAGATTTGCTGGCGGCAGAGGCAAGGAAGTACCCTGGGTGATGGGACGGTTCTGAGCCCTAACCCGCGTGGTGGAGACATGGTTACACCCCTTTGTCAGACCACATCTAACTGCTTGCTTAGTCTGCTCTCTTAGAGCTCAAGAGAGATTGACTTAAGATGTGCCCTCAATTAAAAAATTTTCAATGGAGAAATGTTACAGTTACTTAACTTGTAACATAAGGACTGTCTTATGACGAGAACAGTTTTCCTCCTAAATTTCTCTAGATTTTAAATTTGGACTTCGGTCCATCTGGGTTTCGTAACAGAGTCCTTGGGTGGCACAAATGGTTAAGCATGTGAATACTAACTGAAAGGTTGGTGGTTCACCTACCCAGAGGCGCCTTGGAAGAAAGGCCTGGCAGTCTCCCCCCCGAAAGTTTACAGCCATGAAAACTCTGTGGAGCACAGTTCTCTGCACACACGGGGTCACCGTGAGTTGGAATCGACTGAACGGCAATGGATTTGGTTTTGTTTGGGGTTTCTTAAAGAAGAACCCACGGTACTAGACCAGTTTAACTCCATGACAGAGCCTAGAGGAGCAGATATAATTAAAGATGTCTCTCCCCTCCTGACAGACAGGGAACCAGACCTGGATGTGATTCTGACGGCCCAGGCTCCCTGCCCTCAGCAGAGACCCCAGGCTCCCCACCTCACCCTCATTTTGAAGGCCTCTGGTAGCTACCTTCCTCATAACACTCTCAGCCCCTGCTCATCTCCAGCTTCTCTCGGGGCTCCAGGTCTCGGGGACCCACTTCAAAGACACGTGCCCTCTCCCTGGACCACATATCTGAAGGCAGTGCTCCCCGCTCCACTGCCTGCTGTTTCTGGAGACCTGGGTCTGGCCTGCCCAGCAGGGGCACTGACCGAGCCCTCCCGCCCCAGCTAGGTCAGATGGGGGCACGGTGGTCTCTGCAGCTGCTCACCCCCCGGGACTGCTGGGGGCTGGGCCCTTCCAGCCACAGCGAGAGGGGGAAGAGGCTGAAGTTAGTGAGAAGCCACCTGCCCCATGCACACCAGCTCTCATGTCAGCTAAGGAAATGTCAACACCATCTCTAGTTTAAAGAAAGATGGGACAGGGACTACAGACTCTAGAGGGAGAGATCGGGGGACAGATGGGATATCAGTCAGGCTGGATCCCGAGTCTAACTAACTGTACATTTTCATCGTTGGATTTTGGGGAGTGTAATAATGGTATTATGGTTATATTTTTAAAGAACTAGTTAATAAACATACACTGAAATATTTAGGTGTTGGGGAGAAATGGGTGGGGATATAGCTCAAACAAGACCGTTCGTGAGTTCATCATCGTGGAAGCTAGTCGATGGATACACGGGATTAATTCTTCGCCTTTTTTTTTATGTTTTTGAAATTTTTTATAATAAAGTTCTCTTTAAAAAAAAAGTCTTTCAAGGCAAGAAAGTTGATAAAGTTCTCTGTTAGAACCTGAAACGCGTCTAATGTCTTTCGTTTTCTTGTTTAAGAACGGCCGGGGATGTTGGACTTCAAAGGCAAGGCCAAGTGGGATGCCTGGAACGAGCTGAAAGGTAATTGTCTGTTCTAGCCAGCTTTCCTCGTCTGTGAAGCCCAGTGATGAAGGACTCTTCGTTACGGAGCACAGGAGGGTATGGGGAGAAAACAAAGTGGCCGAGGCACATGCCGGAAACTAGATTGCCCAATGCCAGGAATGGAGAAAACTTGGGCCACCTCCTTTTCTGCTTCTGTTAATGCCTTTTCCAAAGCGCCATCCCTGAGCAGTGGTATCAGCTGGAGAGCAGGGGCCCGGGGTCAGGCGCCAGGGGCCAGACTGCTGAAAAACAGATTGGGAGGCGATATGGTCATGTTCGGGAAAAGGGGTGGTTTCCTGCCCCCACCTCGCTCTTCCCCACAAGGCCAGGCAGTGACCCTTTAACCACAGCACCCTCCCCAAGCCCCTCCCAGCCACAGGGCACCTAAAAGAAGGCGTGAGCTAATGCGCCAGAAGCTACTGGCGCACCCTAAGGCTCAGTGTGAAAGACACCCATTATATGCTGAGCCACAGCAGCCAAGAAGTAGCCCAGCTTCTGCTTGGTCACGTGCCACCTGTGGCAGCAAGACCCGAGAGCTGGCACCAAAGCCCCAGCCAGCTTTTGTGTCCTTGCTCGCGAGCCTCTGAATAAGCCCTCTGTCTTCCTGCAAATGAGAAGCCCTTGAATTCAGAACATAACAAAGGCACTCCCAGGATTTGCGGGTAACTGAGAGAGGAATGCCCGTCTGATGTCAGTGTTCAGCGGGCACTGCCACAGCATCTCATGCCCCGTGGGCTGTCCCCTGCTGCAGGACACGCTCTGGTTCCTATGGCATCTCCTCCTCACGGAAGTCAGGACCTGGCTGTTTCTGTCTGTCTGTTCAGAAATCCAGACAGGGCCCTTTGTACCGCAGCACGAAGATACCGATTTGCTTCATTCCCCTTCAAGACCAGCTGCTTTTGCTCAGAGTCCTCACAACTTTTCTCCTAGCTTCCCTCCAGGGGGAGGAGGGTGTCTGGCTTTGCTTTGTCCCTGCTAGTTTAACAGCTCTGGGACATGAGAGCCCAACCCAGAAATACTTGATGGGCCACAGCCAACCGTGAGTCACCAGGACCAGTAACGCCACCCCAAGCCCCAGCATTAAATGTGCCTTCCTCTCCGGAACGCCTGTCTCCTGAGGCTCACGCTGGCCACTCCCACACGGCCACATGTGACTCACACAGGCCAGCCCGCTGCGGGCTCTGCTCAGTGCTTTACCGCACGTGTACTCCAGGCAAGCTCTTCAGTCCCTTAAGTTACTTCTTGCCAGGTCTCTGAGGTGTTTGTACTAGCTCCCCCATTTTCCAGATGAGAAGCAGGCTCAGAGAGTTCAGCCATGTCTGCCTGGAGCGCCGAAGCCCACCGCTTTTCCACCATGCCACCTCCTGACAATAACCCTGTGTTTTCCTGCAGGGACCTCCAAGGAAGACGCCATGAAAGCTTACATAGACAAAGTGGAAGAGCTAAAGAAAAAATACGGAATATAAGGGACTGGATGTGGACGTCAGCCAAGCCCTTGATCTGAACCGATGTCACGGCTTGTTTTTTTTCTAGTACTGCAGTTGACGCTGAGTAATGAAAATAACCAATTACCCCCGTTCCTCGAGCCGTCCAACAGGTCAGAAGCAGAAACAGTTACTGACTTCCACTGGGTAGTTTTTAGCTGTAGGTCCATTAAAAGTGCATTTATTACTTTTAAGCCTTTGGTGATCTGGGTTCTTGAAGTAACTTACTCTGCTGCAGTCCCTCTTCCTCACTTCCTTTTTCTGAAGATTCCATCTGACAGTGTTTCAGCTCACCCTCCGCTCTGCTCACCTGAGGAGCCCCTGTGTGGCACGAATCATTAAGCCCTGGGCTTTTTAGCCGAGAGGATGGCAAGTCAAGTCCACCCAGAGGTGCCTCAGAAGAAAGGCCTGGCTATCTGTTTCCAAAAGGTCGCAGCCACGAAAACCCCATGGAGCAGTTCTACTCTGCACACTTGGGGCTGCCGTGAGTCGGAATTGGCTCCATGGCAACAGGTTTGGGTTTTTTGGTTTGGTTTGGTTTGGTTTTTCTACTCACCGGAGTGTGAGGCGGGCTGTCCCACCCTGTCCGCAGGCCTGGAGTGAGCTCACCTCTTGTGTGGGGGGACGAGAATTATAGAAGTGGTCTTCCTCTTTTCCTCCCTCTTCTTCCGGCTGCACTGAGGAAGATCAGGTGGGCTGGCTGAGACTTCAGTCTGCAGGTACTTCCAACACCCTGTTAGAACATGGCTGGCCTCTGAGGAAGGCAGGGCAGAACAAGTGTTTGGGTTTGTCTGAGGTCCGATCAGGCACAGAGCGTGGGCTGCATGGGGCAAGCCCAGAGTCCCAGTGAACCTCGGAGGAGAAAAGTAGGGGGGACGGGGGGAGGGCTGGCTCAGCCGGGAGGAGGGAGATCAGGACCAGGTTGCAGGGGCGGATGCCAGAGGAGAAAGGCTGAGCGTGACCCTGGGAGATAAGAAGGAAGAGACAGCCGTCTAGGCCCTGCTTTCCAGATGTTCCCATTCAGGCCCCTCTGCAGTCCTGCAAGAGAGGGCTGGGTTTTATCTCCAGTAAGGGTGTGAGGCTGAGAGGAACTAAGGAGAAGCCCTCTGAGGCTGGGCAGCTCTCAGTCTTCTCTGTCAGAGCCCGTGCCCTGGTCTCGGACACGGTTCACCCTTGGCCAGAACAGGGAGGCTGAGAGTTAGGTAACTTGCCCAGATGACTTAGCCCGTACATAAGTTAAGAGCCAGCATTTAATGCAGGTCTCCCTGTGATACCCACGGTGGCCGTGCAGCCTAGCAGTGCTGTAATGGGGAGAAACGGGGACAGCAGGCCGGGCAACTGTCTGGTACCCTCAAGGATAGCATCCTCCCAGTAACATGGGAAAAGGGACTAAGAGTAGAAAGTCTTGACAAGTTGAAAAGTATGGAATTTGATCACAGGTCACATTGGTTGAGCGCTCGGCTGCTAACCGAAAGGTGGGCAGTTGGAACCTGTCTCAGTCATCTGGTGCTGCTATAACAAATACCACAAGTGGGTGGTTTTAACAAAGAGAAGTTTATTTCCTTACTGTAAAGTAGGCTAAAAGTCCAAATTCAGGGTGTCAGCTCCAGGGGAAGATCTTCTCTCTCTCGGCCTTCTCAGTTGGTGTTCCCCTGGACTAGGAGCTTCTCGGCGCAGGGACCCGGGTACAAAGGACGCGCTCTGCTCCCAGCACTGCTTTCTTGATGGCATGAGGTCCCCCACTCTCTGCTTGCTTCCCTTTCCTTTTAGCTCTTGAGAGATAAAAGGTGGTGCAGGCCACACCCCAGGGAAACTTCCTTTACATTGGATCAGGGATGTGACCTGGGTAAAGGTGGTATTACAATCCCACCCTAGTCCTCTTTAACATAAAATTACGATCACAAGATGGGGGCCAACCACACAATTCTGGGAATCATGGCCCAGCCAAATTGTTACACACATTTTTGGGGGGACACAGTTCAATCCATGACGGAACCCATCAGCCACTCTATGGGAGAAAGGTGTGGCAGTCTGCTTCCATAAAGATCCTAGCCTTGGAAGCCCTACAGGATAGTTCTTCTTTGTCCATAGGGTCGCTGTGAGTTGGCATTGACTTGACAGCAACAAGTTTTGGTCTGGTGGGCAGTCACCGGGGAGTGATGTGGTAAAAGGCGTTAGTTTGAAGGACCTGACTGTATATTAACAGCTGTGAAGTCTGGCCATGCCTCCAGTTCTGCGCCAGCCTGCCCACGGAAAACTAGACTTAGAAGCTCAGGCGTAGAAAGGTTGCTGCACAAAGCAGAGGGGTCAAGATCCAGAACCCAAACACGCAGCCCAGGTGACACGACTTCCTGAGACCAGTGTCATTTATGGGGGAGTCAGTCTTTTTCTGGGTGCTGATGTGCCTGAGAAGAAAGGCCTAGCGACCTACTTTCGAAAGATCACAGCCATCAAAAACCCGTGGAGCACAGTTAAACCCTGAACCATGTGGGATCACCATGAGTGAGAATTGGCTCGATGACAGCTCGCTTGGTTTGGTTTTTCTGGATGTGGCTGAGGGTATGTGAGGAAGGGGGCACTCGGTTCTGTTCTCCCACCTGGCATCACACCGCCCAAGCTGTCAACACCCCCAAACTGGGGGGCACCCCTGTGAGACACGACGGAGGCAGTAGGCAGCCATAGCCACTCACTTGGACCCATATTTGGGTTGTCTCTGCTCAGGTACTGGCTGCTTCAGAAGAAAATCAACGGTATAACCTTAAATGGAGTTGGAGGTGCTTTCTTGTCCAGCTGGACCAGAGCCTGGGTTGGGCCTAACGCACTTGCCCAGAGGGTAGTGGGGAGCATTCAGTGGGATTGTGAGAAGCTCTGACATTGAGGGGGTGCCCACTGTATGTCTCATTATCAGGAATTTTGCCCCCAGCAGCTTTCCACGCAGCTCTTGTCCTGGCAACATCCGTTACAATATCCATTTGCGTCAAGGACCTAGCCCATGAGCAAGTCATCACTCCTTGGATGATACCAGAGCCCTGGTGGCGCAGTGGTTAAGAGCTCGGCTGCTAACCAAAAGGTTGGCAGTTTGAATCCGCCAGCCGCTCCTTGGAAACCCCACGGGGGCAGTTCTACTCTGTGCTATAGGGTCACTGTGAGTCGCAATCGACTCGACGGCAGCGGGTTTTTTGGGATGACAGTGGACGGGGTGTGGGAGAGAGAAGCTCCTGCCCAGTATCCTGACCTATTTCTAGCTTGTGAAAGGCAGCGGGGTGAGGCAAAAATGCACGCACCCTTGGCTGCGGTTCAGGCACTGTGTCTTTCCACTGCTGGACAGAAACAGAATAGGCCCCGGCCTTAGGGAGTCCTGAGAAAGCTGTCCGTCTGATCCTCTGCAGCCACACTGCTAAGGTTGTGTCTCAGTCACCCAGGGCTGCTCTAACAGAAGTACCACCCGTGGATGGTGTCT